GATACACTGGTCGGCGCGCGCTAATTGGAGCGCATATCGAGTTAAGTGCGATAGGCCGCCAGTTCAATAGACAAGAGATCGTTTCCAAAGCTGGTTCTAAGAACCAGCTGTGGATTTTCCAAATCCCAGAATTATTTGTAGCAACGTTTCTCAAATTTAAAATCGGTCTATTGAACAGGCGGAGGAGCATCAATTATCTATGTTGCGTAACTTTAGTTTCCTTTTGAAGCAAGAAGAAGTGTTGCGAAGCAGAGTGAGTATTTTGGATTACCATGATGGTTACAACATAGACACCGCTCGCGCTGTGGCATACCGGCCCCAAGTGAACTTGGAGTCGCAAACAGCCAAGTTGACGCCACAATTCGTCAAAATAAGTTACTTTGGTCGTGTTGGTGAAATTGATTGTACCAAGACATATCTTGAGGCTATGGCATAGGTGCCCCGTCCACCGTAAAGGTCTTCACAGGTGTTGCCTGTTGTATAGTAGCTGTACAATGTCTTCTGGTGAGTGGCCGCCGCCGCCGCCTCCACCCCAGTCGGGCCACAGACCACAGCATCCTTACCAGTACCATACACAGCGGAGTCGATATGATGTACACCCACCACAGCAGCAGCAGTCACTACCTATGGTATGGCTTCAGGACGATGATGGGGGTACTGCTCACGTCATCAGGTACATGACTATGGGGGCTCTGTGGACATACATGCATGGTGGATGGTAGCGATGCAACAGCAGCAACAGCAGGGGCTCCACCCGTCGAACCTCATGGCTTACCGCCGTCAAATCCACCACGGCTTTCCTGCTCTTCCTGTCCTGCCGGTAGGGCACTGGCAGAGCTGGACAGGAGGGCCACCGCGACAAGCGAATCCCGTCGTGGACCCTCGTATGTATGACCAGAGGCGGGATGACGAAGTTCATCGGCGCCGAGGGTGGCAGTTCCAGGCAGCTCCGCGAGAGGTTCAGCGAGCGCCAGTTTATCCACGGTCGCCCTCCCCACTTCGGCTCCCATCCAGTCGAACGCAGACGACTAGCAGGTTGCAGGAGAACGAGGCGTGGACTTCACATGGTGAGCATGGGGACTCAAGGCTGGGAGGGTGGACTCGAAGCGAATGGCTCTTTGAGTGAGAACAGTGACTGAACTCTTGTGGTCGTTTTCAGCAAGTTCTTCGAGACCGACGCCCTGCGGCCAACGATTAATAGATCATGGTTACCGTGCTGGATCTCCTAGGCGGCGTAATTGGACGCCTAGATCCTGTCCGGAAGCGAGAGCTGACCCCCCAGAGAGCAGTGGCCGATGTGATCGGCATAATTCCGTTTGCTGGACGGTCGGTCGCTCACGTAGGCGGAGGATAGACGAAAGCGGGCCGCTAACTAATTCGATGCAGAAAAGGCGGCGAGTCTCTCGGACGGAATATTTGCGATTGCCTGTCTTTTCTGAGGATGAGCGGGGTGATGTCGCGGGGACTCGCCAGCAGCAGCGGCCGGCCTCGAAGACGCGGTCTTTCATTGAGCTGTTGTTGGAGGATCGGCGGAAATCTGCGGCTTCTTTCTCGACACCCGAGCGGAGCGAAGCGAGAAGGGATGAAAAGATGGAGAATTCGTCCTCGGCCACCCCACCTCCCACCAGGCGGCTGTCCGTTATTAAGGAGGGTACGGAGGTGTCGGCTGGTCACTCATCGAGGAGCACTCCGCCGGCTTTGAGGAGACAGGTGTCACCACCACAGACAGATGCCCGATCATGGTATGATGGTGAGAGGACGCCATCGTCACCGTCTTTGCCGCGGATCAACCCAGCCGACTACGGTTGTGGCGTACCGGAGGATGATGGAGGGTTTACAACGGACGTTGAACGTGGCTTGGCCGGCGAGGAGGATATCGGCAGTAGCAGCAGCGATGATGAGGCGTCCAATGAGTCTGGCAGCGACGAGGATTCGAGCAGTGAGAGCAGGTAAGCAGAACCACTCCAGTGAGCGTAGTAGTGTTGATCCTTGCAGTACTTCGGCATATGAGATAGTTCAACGAGGGGACGAGATCGTTAGAAGGAAGCGGCGGAAGAAGAGGGAGCCTGCGAGGGACTTGGAGTTTATCGATTGGAGCGAAGAATTCAACACTGGCATCATCGCTACCGCCCACGAGCCGACTCTGCGGTTCAAAAAGGTGGTGACACGAAGATTCGGGGCGAAACTCAGAGGCCATCCGATGTTCCGAGAGGACGTCCAGCGACAAGAGCAAGAGAATGGAGACAAAACGCATGTTGCAGAGTTACAAATGTAGTTGCAGCGGCCAATGCGGCCATCATCACCGCAACGACGAGTTGTGTTGACTAGTGTAAAGGGATCCATAGATGTAATGACCGGTATATGATAATAAAAACCACGATCATAAAATCTGGCTACTCCCTATCACGCGGACGACCTACGGTGTCATGTCACACTAATGGTCGAGTAGTAATAGGTCTCGTAACAAGTCTCATGGTACCGAAGTGAATCACTCATAGGCTGATGATATACTCCCCCTTAAAGAGTTAGATGAGGGAACAACTTCAATGTCTTTCATGGCATGATTCATACCATATGTATTTGACGATTTGGTTTCCTATTGTACAGACGTTTATAACGGCTCAACCCCCACTGATATAAACTCGAGAACAGCATCGAGGGTATAGAAGGTTTCTTCCACAGTGAAGGGAATAAATGATGAAGAGGATAAGGGACGAACTTGCAGCACAGTCCCCATACGAAGAAGCAGATCACTTGGCGTAGGACCATAAGGTGACATTTTGTCGGTTGGTCCTACCCTTTCGACTCTTCTGCAGCATGTTACTACGTACTTGCGACTGAGAAAATTCAATACCAACAACAATGACAGCAATAGCCTCACCTTCTGTGCCTCGAAGTCCATGAATCGCATGGACTTTAATAGGGACTTCGCCTCTCGCTTCTGCTCCCGATAGCTCTTCATGCTCATTATAGCGCCTGACTGATCTCCCCCAGCGATGGCCAGCATGGCGTTCTTCTGCTGCGGCAGAGCTCTCCGAGGCTCATGACGCTTATCACCAACCCTGACGCTTGTTCCATGAACACGTTTGCCGAATGAACCACACGAGCCCTACCTGTTGTTGGTGAGTCGCTGCTTGTAGATGTAGGCGTACATACGATGGGTTGCCACCTTACCATTGGGGAGGCGGAGGGACCCGTCGTCTCTGAAACCGATCGTCGAGAGGGGGGGGGGGCATGCTAGCACACTTACAGAATTTGAGCTCTTTGCAGTCCAGTTTGGATGACGGCCTCGTCGAGATCCTCCTCATCACCACTAACGGAACCTAATGGTAACCGATTGCCACTATAAATTCGCGATGGAGTGGTATGGTTTATCTCAGCGAAATTTCTACATGGTTTACTCCTATCCTACTATGCCTATATAAACCTACTTCATCGAGCGACACCCACGTCCGCGAAACTCAAGTAATCACTAATAGGGTACTACCAATTTCGGTCCAATCATCACTATCATCATCGTCGCTGTCATATTCTTCTCCCTATACAAAGAAAAATGCCGACAGCCATACTCAACCCTCGTTAGTCCTACCTCCCCCTGTGGGGCGGCAGCCTGCAACTCCAAATAGGAAGCGCTGAAGTCGTAGAAGGGATCCAAGTCGGCAAGCAACTCATCGGTATCCGTACCTGAGAGTGAAGACAATATCACTATGAAGACAATGACGTAGGAGATTATTAAAATGGAAAGCCCCTACTACCGATTCTAGTGTGTTTCATATCGATCATGTGGGACTTCACAGCACCAACACCACTGTAGATCTTATTGCAGTACAGACCTGATAAGAAGAAAGTGACTACGACTAGCCTAGTAACGAAGGGCGTACACTGATGGCGCTCATATATCTTCTCGGTCAACATGGCGAGAAGTCCGGGAAGGTCCTTGAGGTAGTCGATATCCGGGATGAAGAAGGAGTACCTGTCGATACAGTGACCACCCAAGGACTGGATAGAGACGGCCATTACTTGAGGCTCATATAAGCTAGATTGTCCTCAACAGTAGCGTGCTGGGTGTTGTCGAACAAACAGGTCTTATCGTCCCGAACTATCTCCACCTGCGGCCCGTTGCTCTCCTCCCGTCGCTCCTTGTGGTGACCTTGTACGCCTAAAACTCCATAGCGTGAAAACACTCCGATAGAGTCCATTCGAATACCCTCCCCCTCGTCTCTATGTTTCAGATGAGCTGTGCCTTTGGTATCTCCAACGCCTTCTGCCAGCTGCTTCAACTGCTCTACTCGAGCCGTCCATACTTGCGGGGAAATCGGAGCCAAACCAGCTACCTTCCGTTTAGTGTTGTAAACATGGAAATCTGTCGAGTGAAATTTCAACCATTTTTGCCGGACTGTAGTCTCACCTGATTTGTAGTGATCTCGTTGCTCAGCACTATCAGGGAATTCCAGGCCGCAAGCGTTGCATCGAAACTCACTGTTAGGCTCGGACGGATCCGCGGTGGGAGCAGCGGTAGAGAGAGAATCCATGGTTATGATATATGAAATCAGTTGACACTATCAATACCACTTAGTCCGCCTTCTTCCCACTAGCCTGCATACGGGTTCATTGTGGTGACTCCTCTGGGACAGTCACCGCACAGAGGTAGCTAGACTAGTCTGAAGAGCTTGGAGTTTGCGAAATGTAAGATGGGAAGATTCTGAACTCTCGGATGTATTGAAATGGTAAGACACGTCACTGAAAGACTCTAACTGACCTCCCATCGGCAAATTCCATTGAACAGCGGAGCGAATCATTGCATGTTGTGCGTTTTTCACTTTTCTGTTGAAGTTTTCAACGGGAATGACCACCAAAGTTGCTCATCAGTCGTCATAATGTGAGTGGGAGAAGCGTTGAAGAATCTATTGACGGCCTTTGAACCATGCAGGTGTGCATTCTTGCTCCCTCCCCCTCGTTCTTTATAGAGGAGCGTCTCGTCAGCATACTAATGATCTCCTCGAAATGGGGGCTAGCAACAATAGTAATCGGATCCACGCTGTCCTCAACGTGTCGTTATAGTATATATTCGACTGAGCATACGAGTTTCCTCACTAGTTAGAGAAGCTCACATGTGAGTTCGGATAGGACTCCTACCGTAGGAGGCTCAGAAACCAACGGGAATTTCCCGAAATTTCATCAGAATTCCCTAATCGTCACCAACCATGTGCATATTTTCTAACACTGGTCCACTCGATGCGATACTTTGATGATGATATGTTTCTAATGGTTTTTCACAAGGTGATGCGACAACAGTTTCTTGAGGAGTTGTGGTAGACAGACTTTAGCCACCACAGGAGAGAAAGCGAGGTTGGCAGCGACGTAGGAAAAAAGGCGGAGCGGAGGGACCTGGCGAACCAGCAGTGAGGGGACCAAAGGCTCGGTCGGTTGGTGAAGTCAGAGTTATTTTGGTGAACCTCTGGAAGGTGTATGAAAATCGACTGGAGTCTGACGAGTCAGTTTATCGCGAGGATCTGAGGACGTCACCGGTTAGAAATATGATCAGCCGATCTCGATTATAGCGTAGATGAATTCACAGTGATAAATACCAACTGAGTTTGGAACTAGCCGTGATAGAGGAATCTGAGTCCGGCTCAGAGCGTGGCGAGCGGTTGAGGTCACTATGCGTGGAGGGAGCGTATGGACAACTCTCGTACTACTGGAGAGTACGTGGCTCAGAGATTGTGCTACTATCAGCACAGTCGGTGCCACCACGTGGTATCATCGTCATCGGCAGTAGCAGCTGGTGGTCCTATTGTGTCGCTCTTGCTAGACTCGGAGAACTGTCTTTACTCAGTGCTATGGGGGACTCTAGTCTCTGTGGTGTTCATGTCACCAACCGCCAGAAGTTCAGCATGGTCAGCGTCACACCAGTTGAGAGTGGTGGGATCCTCGACATGATCTGTTGAAATTGTGGTATATACTCTGAGTTGACTCTTCCTCGGCGGCGGCGACCACTGTTGCTGCCATGTGAACGGTACACTACCTCGCAAATCAAGAGAGAATGTTACTCTCCTATGGTGACGGCAAGTCAGCTTGACCCTTCCGGAGTGCACCCCTTGGGACTTTGGTCCTTGTGTGTACGACCTAGGTGGCAGCTGATAATACGCTGCTGTGGGCCTCCATGGAAGTCGTCGTGACTGAGTTATTGTCCTCGCTAGCAGTGTGGGGGGGGGGGGGGGGGAAATATGCACATGGTCAACCACATGTGTTGGTGACTGCAATTTTGAGAAATTATGGGTGGTTTCTGCACATTTCTACCGTAGGTCGTATATAAACTCCTATACTTAGTGAGGAAAGCGAACGTAGTTTTCAACACTGCTGGCTAAGGAGAAGGGGACGGACTGGGTGCTAACGGAGGTAGCTTCTGGTCACGTGCTTGATTGGAAGCTCACGGCTCCTGAGAAACTGTGGGAGAGATGAGGTGCGCCGTACTTGGTGCATTTTTGGGCCTATTTTGAATCTTACGTGGTTGGAGCTTAAGATTTGTTCACTCGTAGTAGGAATATTTTGCATCCTCCTTCAGTCTGCCTAGAGCCCCAGACTTAGTGGTATCTGAGAGCACTTGTCACACTTCCTTAGCTGCCCTTTTAAAGTTGTCTGAAGACGCTCTTAATACGGCCTGCATCGGTGCTAAGGGCTATGTAAGTATCTCCTGGGTCGAAAGCATTTGTAGAGGAAGGCCCAAAGCCGCTGGGGTGGAGGTGACTGCTCTGTGTATTTGTTCCTCCATAGTGAAAGGTGTATTGGGTTGGGGTTAATTTCGTGGCGAGTGACGGATCACGAGGAGGGAATAGGATTGCTTGTATCATTGTTGTTAATGGTGACGACCCGCTCAGCACGGGCTGCCCAAAGACTGTTGCATTCTGGTAAGAATTCCGTGGCGCGCGGGAAAATTGTCCATGTGCAGACCCCCTATGCGGCTCACCGACCCCTGCATCGGTGCCTGTGAATCTTCAAGTGCCACGAGTGATGGACTCGTCCCCATCCAGCACTACTTCTACAAAACGGAAGGTCCTTGATAGCGAAGGTAACATGCCCGGCGGGGAAGATGGTGGCCCAGCGGGGGGGAAGGATTTTATGAATTATAATATTGGAATTTTCAGCCGTTTTACGTGAAGTGGTGTAAAACGCGATATTCGCAGTAGTCGTGAAATATGTTTTTCACTAGTGTTTTTCATTTCACTAGGGTGAAACTCCACTATTAAAAATATCAATTGTCATATGAATTGTATTGAAGATAGAGGACAAAGGAGGAATAATGGAGTTTCACCCGTTTTACGTGAAGTGGCGTAAAACTCGGTGAGAAACGCGATATTCGCGCCTTACAATAGTCGTGAAATGAGTTTTCCACTAGTGTTTTTCATATCCCTAGGGTGAAACTCCAATAAACGTATTGTTGAGACTGTATGATGAATCGATTTTTAATAAGTATACATCGGATCATATCGATCATTGAATGGTGAGATAAGATACGTGAATGCAGAGTGGAAAATATGTACATGGTCAACTACACGTGTTGGTGAAAAAACGAAAATTCTGAGAAAATTTTGGGAAAAATTTCTGGTTTCGGTACACTCCTACCCGAATTCGTGTGTAAACTTGGAGGAAGCGAAGATGAATTTTTCAACGCTGATCAGATGAGGACGTGTTGCCGGCCCGGAGGTCGGCGAGGTTGTCGAGTTTCGGTGGCAGCGAGACGGCCAGCAGTCCAGGGGAGCCCAGCAGTCCGATTCAAATCTCGATCGAGAGCGGGTCTCTATCGGAGCCTAGTGGTGAGTTGAAAGGCCTTGGTGGTTGGCATGTGCTCAGCAGGGGAAGGTATGGTCAGCACGCGTGCGTTGAGGTATGCGATGGCGACTACTCCTCTACTGCCCATCACAGAGAGAGGGGACTTCACGCCGCGACCAGGCAAGGGGGGACTGTCCCTGGCCAAATCACACGTTGGCGCTCCTCAGCCGAGCGCAGGAGTTTCTCACTAATGATAGGAGTCTATGCAGAAACTAACACGAATCTTCCAAAATTTCTTCTGAGTATTCATATCGCCACCAACACATGTGGTTGACCATGTGCATATTTTCTCACTATTCAGGATTCTCGGGCCTGGTGAACCTCGGGTGCACCTGCTACATGAACGCAGTACTGCAGTGCTTGCATGCCATGCTGCCTCTGGTCACATATCTCCTCCGAGGGTGGGTCGGGTTTGAGGAAATGCAAGTGGCAGTAAGAGAGCAAGATGTTCAATGATGTTAGGGAGCATGAAGTTAATGAGAAGAACCCCCTGGGATCTGGCGGTGATATTTCCAGTTGGTGAGGGCCAATCATATTCCTCTGTGATTCCTTATTTTGTGCTTCAGCGTGGCGAAGCTACTTTCGGACATGCGCCTTTCCTCGTCCGCGGGGCCTATCGTGCCAAGGGAGCTCAAGAGGGCTATCAACAGGCATATGCCGGCTTTTAGGTAAGGGCTGCTGTTGGGCTGCCCTGACCTTGTTGGTAGGGGCACGGGAGTTCAGCACGATGCTGCAGAGTTCGCCACGGCGCTTCTCGACAAGTACGGGGTCTTTCCGGGGGCCCTCGGATGTCCCTGGTAGGCTCCATGAGGACCTCAACCGTGCGTCGCCGCCTAGTGAGCCGCCTTCTACGCCTGAGTGCACACTGGAGATGAGTGAGGAGAAGGGAATAGAACGGATCGCGGCTGAGTTTTGGAAGTAGGGGGGTCCGGACTGAGTGCTGGAGGCATTGCTGTTGATGGTAGGGCTCAGCTGGCTAGGAATCAGTCGATTGTGGTGGACTTGTTCCAAGGGCAAACGCGGTCAGTGTTCAAGTGTAGTTCCTGTGGTCACTCGAGGTGAGAGGAGGGTCTTGACGTCGGTGTGGTAGCGTCTGTGGTCAGAGTTGTCTTCGAGGCCTTCAATTCGTTGATACTACCGATCGAGAGCGCTGCAGGGAAGCCCCTATCTGACATCTATGCCTGCTTGAGGGAGTTTGCTCGCCCTACTGATTTGTCGGGGGACAACGGATGGTCCTGTGCTGTAGCGATGGAGGCTCTTAGTATTGTGGTATTGGTAGGTACTGTGTGAAATGCAGCACGTTGTCGGAGTCGACTTGCGACACTGCACTGTGGAAGCTCCCTAGCGTCCTTATGATACAACTGCGTCGCTTTAGGCAGCTGAGTCCGATACGGTGGAGTAAGAGTAGTCACCATGTACGATACTACTCCTTGGGGCGCGCTGGAGTGGGCGGCTGCAGGTGCACTATCCTACGCGAAGTCAGCTAGACCTGAGTGAATTCGTGCCAGAGTCCCATCAGAGGGACGCCCCACGGTATCGCCTACTAGGAGTGGTCCGCCATAAAGGAGTCATGACGTAGGGCCTGGGTCCATGATGATGGAGGGCAGCTGTTGGGATTGTTAGGGGAGGTCACTATACTGCCTTTGTTAATCATGATAAGACCCTGTGGGACCTCAAGGGACGGGAGAAGCCCGCGGATCGGTCCGCCCAGACCCCTCGAAGGGCCCCTGACCACATGGGTGAGAATGCCCTTATGGTGACGGCTTGTATGAGTAGGGTCAGGCCATCACACAGTTGCTGCTAGTCCACTCTCGCGAGCTGTGTTGAATCTGATCCCTGGCTCCCCTAATGGTGATAGGAGCCCCTCCTATGAGCGGGCCAATGCCTTATCCCTAGGTTGGTGGTTTTTCGATGACGCCACAGTGCAGCCCTTGCTGAAAGAGTCCCTTGTGGATTCCCGTGGTGAGGGGTCTGCTGGGTCTGTCTTCTGCCCCCACTCGCTGTGAATGCTCATTGGGTAGATGCTTACGTTCTTTTCTTCGTCCGCTCGGGGACTCCAGTTGACCACAAGCTGGTTCCGAGTCAGAGGGATAATCAGCCGACTGATTGGCCCCACATGTTCGAGAGGGCCGACCCCAGCGCTGACAGTTCTGACGATGCTTCCCCTCCTCATGATGGCAGTAGCGACTGAGATAGGTCCTTTGCCGTGATATTTATTAAAACTGCGAACGTTGATTCAAAAAGGATAATTGTTGTGTGTATAGTCACAAGGAACGCTCCGCGGGGACAGTTGCGGTTGCACAAAAAATCTTCGCTGTGCGCGAGGAAGGATGAACAGTGCAAGATACGCTATTGCACGACGGCTGGGACGCGTGGTTGAGGTCGGTTAGGGGCGTTCGTTGTATTGTATGGTATATGGTGGTCCTTGTTGGTAACCATCTGGGAGCGTGGGACGTGGTAACTTTGATAGGGTTGAAATCAGCAGGCATTCCTTCTATTTCGGGGGTACGTATAGGGGTAGAGAGTTCAAGAATTAACTGTGTGGGGTAGGCATGTTTGTTGGTAGCTGTTATAGTAAGTATTAACCTTCGAGTGATGGCTCCTAGTAAGCAGTCGCATGTCATGGAGGAGTCCTGGCCCACTGAAGAGGAGGAGCGACAGTCGTCGTCCTCGTCAGTGAGTTCTAATGGTAAGATGCATTGTTAGTAGTGCGCTGTGGTTGGCGGTGTTGGAATATATGTTCAGGAGTTTCCTCACTGGGGTTTCATCCGTTTTACGTGAAGTGGAGTAATACTCTGTGAAAAACGCGATATTCGCGAAATGCAGTAGTCGTGAAATATATTTTTCACTGGTGTTTTTCATATCACGGGTGAAACTCCGCTGATTACGATTTCGGATAAAGTGTAGAGTAGCCAATGGAAATTTCTCAAAATTCTCTCAAAATTTTCGCAAAATTTTCATGTCGGCTGCATATGTGCAATAATATTTTCAAGCTACGTGGATATAATCGTGCGTGAAAATCTCACATTTTCACATTTTGTCCCACAAATTCTTATTACGTACTCTTATACTTCCAGCATGTGTCAATCTTTGAGTTCCGATGAACTCTGCTTGTCTGTTTAGTATTTACGCAAGATGAAGAGAATTCGGTACAGGCCAGCGAGGTCCCGATGGGGTGTCCATCGTGGAGAGCAAGTACGTGTGGGGGGAACTACTGTAGCTGACGGTGTGGGAAAATATGCACATAGCCAGCTACATGCGTGGAAATTTCGAGGTAAATTCTCATTGGTTTTCGTAAACTTCTTCTACCCGAATTGGTATGTAAACTTCTATTATTACTGAGGACCCAGCGGAGGAAAGCGAACATAAGTTCTAACACTGGTATCTAGTGTGGGAAAGTATGCACATGGTCAACTACATGTGTGGCCGACGGTATGAAATTTTTGAGGAAATTTTTGGAAATTCTCATTGGTTTCCGTACATTTCTACCCCACTTCGTATATAAACTTCTATAATAAGTGAGGAAAATTCCGAGCTCAGTTGAGGAAAGCGAAGATGAATTCTAACACTGGTATCTGATCGCACCAGAGAGGCTATTCAGATTCGAAGCGGCACTCAGCCGGCGGAGAAGATTGTTGCGGAACAGATGGAGTCAGCAGTAACTTGAATGCTCTACAGCGTGCTCGACCCCTTATTGTTTTTCCTCAGCTATCGCATCCCAGGCTGTGAGAATTCAGGAGCTCGAACGGCGTGAGTTCGCATCAGCCACGTCATAGAGGAGCCTGTTGTCGCTTGTAGGTATCCGTGAGCTGGAGTCCAGGGCGCGACAATGTGAGAGGATGGTTTTCAGATGGACTGCTTCAGCTTGCTTTTCTATTCTTAGTTCCGTCTGGGGAGATTCCAGAGGAAGCATCACAGCAACGAGGTGAGCTACTGTATTAGATCATCATAAGCAGTGTTTTCTCAGTTGAAGAGGTTCCCCTTACTCCATACGGTAGAGGGCAACAAAAGCAAATAATCCCACAGTGTGAGGCTGTTCACGGAAGTACGCTCGTTGAGTCTGTGTTGTTGTTAGTTATGATGCTACATAAGGACGGGAGTGACTTGACTGGGATGATGGGTGAGTGACCCCTTCCCAACTGCGGGGTTGTTGTTGTCGCCGTTGTAGGTTACAAGAATTGCGACGCTCAAAGAAGGAGCATCTGGTCAGCGCAAACCCATGCGTCCGCGGACAGAGGGGCTTGCCTCGTCGAGTCGTATCGGGGTGGCATTAGTATTGATGATGGAGCTGAGCAAGGGGGCACACCTGCGTCCCTGCCGACCGTACCGTACCCCACGCAACTCACCGAGGATAGCTACTCTCAGCTGATGAGTAGGTCTACAATAGGCGGCTTCCTCGTAGGGGTTTTGCTCAGGCCCGGAGCCATCGTTGTTACCGGAGTTCGATGAGTCGAATCTATTTGACCACCACGGTGATTGGGGAAGTTATAATGACGGTCAAGAATGTACTCGGTCAGATTTGGTGTTGGACGACCCGCCTATGAGCGTCCAGGATGATCTCTGCAGAGGTGACAAAAGCTGTTGTTGGTCCTAGCTGGTCGAGAGCTGAATATTTCAGATTTGGAGAGTGAAGGCCGCAAGAGGAAGGCGGCAAGCATAGAAGGAACGGATGATGGTGGGATGGTTTTGGGCTAGATCCGTATCTTTAGTAGGGGACCTCGGATATCTTTCGAGTCCTATATCGCACTGAATAGCCGTCCTTAAAAGTCTATAGTTTCCTCTGTTACTATCATAGGAATAACGCAGAATTGATTTTCTAGGTGAGGCATTTTCTATCTGTAAATTTCATATTCGCCGTTTTTTTCCGCATTTTTTTGAGCTGTGTATGCTCCGACCCCACAAAATTGAATCTATCTTCATCTCTATAGTAATATGAGAGATTACAACAACTAAATACATGTGTGATACTCGGTACGCAGCACAGCAATACTGGTGGAGGTAAGTGAATAGGAAGACAAACCACAATGACATAGCTAATCGATAATATAGATCAAGGAATCAAGGGAGAACAATTGCGACGACTATCACAATATGGTTGATCTATTTCACTTAATGACTAAATACATGATAAAAATGTGGTAGCTTTAATATATAATATTAATAATAACGTTAATATAGAACGATATTGATATTATATTCCTTGAGCTGTATTCGACCCCACGAAACTCAACCGGGTCATTAAATGATAACCGCCTGTCTCTGAGACACGTAGAGGAGGCTGTAGAGGATAATGCATTTAGGTCGGGGAGAGCCCGTGGACTCATCGGAGTGGTTGGCTGAAGATGGAGGTAGGCTGATGTCTTATTGTTTGGAGCACTGTGTGTGTTGCTCTGCAAGGCTCTAGCGTAGACCAGCGCGATGGGAAGAGGCGAGTTACTACGACGACGACCTCTACTGCTCTAGCGTTGAGGCCGTCGCAGAGAACGGGTGAGTACTTGTTTTATGGTAGTGTACTATTACACTTGATACTTTACTATTACATGAGATCAGTATTGAGCGTTACTGAGATGCACTAGTACCTTGGTTATTAAAAAACATATCGTTGCATTTCTTGTGCGATAAAAGGGTTCAGAGTGAATGACGTAGTCCCTGTCAAGTAACGTGTGATCGTTCCCCGAGGGGAATCTTCGCAGTGCGGAAGATCTTTGTTATGTTCAGGCTGCGTGGGTACTCCTGTATCTGAAGTATCGCAGAAGGCTCCATCAAGACGCAAAGCGACGGCGGCGCATCGCGGAGGTAGGTGGGGTTATATTTTGATGTTAGTTGACGTGGTGTGTCGGGATCTCAGGCCCGGGAAGGAATCTATCGGCTGAGTCTGTCGTTGCGTTGCAAGAAACGAAGCAGAAAAAGAAGATGGATGATGGGCCTGTCAGGAAGGCTCCTGGTGGTGAGTGGGTTCTCTCCTATGGGTTGGAACAGTTATATGTTATCAGTTATATATTAGTAATAACTATATAAGTTTATATAAGTTAACTATATACAGTTTTATAACTGTAATATATTTGTATAATATGTATAACTGTATAGTATTAGTATATATTAGTATAACAGTTATATATATAGTTATATAAAGTCTGAGTTAGTTTTTAGTCTACATAAACCCATGAGTTACTATTACCGTGGATGGTGGTGTATAGGGGACTTGTTTACGGCCCTAGCCTAGTGAGATGCATATAAGGAGTTATACGTAACCTGTTTCGATACAGTATGAAGTATTAGATAGTTTTATAGTAGCTGCTGTGGTTGGCTGCAGCATTTTCTGGTCAATTAAATACCTTGCCTGAATTTTCGATATTTTAACTATTTTTTCAAAGTTTTTTTTACCGACTGTTTCTGATGAATTACTCGAAGTTTCTATTGAATAGCTGACCATATCAAATACGTACTGACGTCCATCAACGCAGTTAGCTTCGGCGGAACGAAACAAACGGGTACCCGATCCAATCCTCTCCATCTCAATGCAAGCCATACTTCGCAAGAATCATGCAGAACTGAGCATGTCCCACAGCTATGAAATCCATAGCCTCTGGAGGGTAACTGCCCGTACCAGAAATTACCCCTGAGAGAGGCAACTGACTGTCTGTAAAGCAATCATGATCATTGCATGACCAATGAGTTTGGTGACACCAGTGGGGACAGCACCATCCAGCATCTCTATGAGAGATCATCAGTCTCTTGTATTCTCATTAATGTTGATGAGAGAAGTCGATACATTTTGAATATGATCAGCTACTCCGCCGAAACTTTAGGAAATTCACCGAGACCGTCGGTAAAGTAATGAAAAAAATTTTCCAATTTTTTTGGACAAAACATTGAATTGATGTGAAAGTACTGTAGTTGATACTTGAAATTGCACCAATTGTGGGAAATGTGAAGCAACGCTGCTCAGGGACCCAGAAGGCATCTCAAGAGAGCTCACAGATCAAGGACGTATCACGTGCTTGGTCGAGGCACCAATCACGAAGTTATCTCTTCACTTGGTCACATTCTGAGGATATCGATAAGGCCAAGCCTTGCGATATGGGGAAGGAGGAGCTGAGCGGTATAATACTCACTATCAATAGAGGCAAAAGTCTATTATACTATTCCATTTTCCACGAGCGACATAAGGATGGCAACATGCACGCCCACTTCCTCATGAAGTATGCAACTCCGACCCGGTGGAAACAACTGGCCGATACTCTCCGCAACGTGTATCGCATTTTCGCGTCGGTCAGCTGTGCTGTGCCGAAGCCAGGGTTCAAGATCTGCATGTACCCAGTGCTCTTCAGCTACTGCTTCCGAACCAATCCTGATAAGCCTCTGATAGACCTCGATTTGAAACCATATCTTTCCGAGAGGCACCCCGATCCTACCGCGCTGATAGTCCCTCGAACGCGGCAGGAGAAGGCGAAACGAGTCAGAGCGATGGATAGATGTGACTTCCAGGAGTTCGTGGTGAAGAATAATATAAAAACAGAGAATGAGGTTTTGGAGTACGCCTGCAGGGACAAAGCGCTCAATATGCTTGCAATGAATTTGAAGACGGACATCCAGGCCCTCATTGATCGGTCGTGGCAGATCGCGGGAGCTGCGCGGCGGCGCGTTGAGGAGAGCAAGAGCCCTATGGAAAAGGTCAAGGCTTGCCTCGGAGCCGAATGTTCGTGTGCAAGTCCTGGACTGTGGTTTGAGAAAGTATCAGAAGTTGTGGTACGAAATCTCCGACAAGAGGGAGCGGAGAGGCTGCGGGAGGACATAATAAGGAACCTTGAGGAAGGACGGTCGAAGCAAACGAATGTGGTGATCTATGGTGTGGCCTCCAGCGGCAAGACGGCGATCCTACAGCCGTTAACACGAATACTGAAGTGTGCAGCGACACCTGATTCGGGCAAGTTCTCTCTCGAAGACCTTCTGGAATGTGAGTGCATCTTCTGGAACGACTTCCGTTTGAAAAGCCTGGGTGAGGCTTGCGATATGGGGAAGCTGCTGAACCTCCTGGAAGGCGGCGGCATTAAGATTAGCCGACCTCGAAATCACAAGCAGAATGACTCTTTTTTCACGAAACTGGTACCTATTTTTATAACGTGTAATGCTCTCCCTAGCCCTCGGGAGGAGCAGGATAGAGAGCCTTTGATTGAGAGGCTTCAGCGACGTCATTTCTTTCCGTATATGATCGATCATAAGGAGCAGGTGAGACGGATCGATCCTTGCACCCGATGTTTTGCTGAATGGCTTTTCACTGCCACCTTAGCTCAGACTCAGCATGAATGATGATGATGTTTTAGATACTTTTTCTCCCCCTGTTTGGTTGTTATCAATTCGTGTCGTCGCTGCTTTTGTACACTCAGATTTGCAGCGCTGTAACGGTTGGAGGTTTACTACTAGATAATCCCAAGCAACATGTGCATGAATATAGAGTGCTTTCAACTGTTTTTGCTGTGGTGTTAGTCAATTGGGAATCGGAGTCAGTATTGGAATATTTGTTCGCTCCCCTCAGCTAGGCTCAGGAGTCCCTTCACTTACTATGGAATTCGAATAGAAGTGTACAGAGACGAATAAGAATTTCCCTAAATTTTCTCGGAATTTTATTTTTTTTTCGCCAATACATGTAGTTGACCATTTTTTGTGCATATTTTACCACACTGATCGGAGCACATATTGCAGGAGTTTGTCATAGTGGGACCCTTCCATCGCGCTGTCAGTGTGCGTATATGAGAGCCACATATAAACTTTGTAAATATATTGTTTACTATATGAATATAAATATGAATACTGGAGTTTCACCCGTTTTACGTGAAGTAGCGTGAAAGTTGGTGAAAAACGCGATATTCGCGGTGATATGCAGTAGTCGTGAAATATGTTTTTCACTAGTGTTTTTCACATCACGGGTAAATCTCCACTGTATAAAGGTTTACTATAAAGAGACAGGCCCTGATTGTGCCTGTGGCAGAGTGAAACGAGTACGTCCTTCATTGCTGGTTGTGAGTTTTCAGTACTGCTATCAGGCAAAGGCTTAGTTGCTCTGATGTTGATATCATCAATATGATTAGAACGTTGATTACCTTGATAGTGCTCAAGTAATGTCGAATCCATCACACACTTCCGCCTCCAACCATGGCCAACCTCTTGTTGATGATGGTGAGTGCACTCTGGGAAACAACCCCTCGTTCTTCTTTTCACTACTACTACTACTACAGTTCTAGTATCGGCATGTCTTCTGATTGCTTCTTTCTATATTGTGGGCTCCGATTCGGAGTTCATTACCTCTTTCTACTACTGCTGATATTCCTTCCGCTTCACGCTTCGTATCGCATCGACTTTTGTGTGCTGTACGGCTATGAGGTTCTCCCCCTTGGCTGTAGTTACCATGCAGTACTACTCCAACCTGCCGGAGGGAACTCTCCCGATCGCCGATGATGACGAGACCATCCCGTACCCAGCGTGTTCGGCGTCGACTGTGGCCGAGAGTGAGCCCAATAGATCATAACAACTTCTAATGACTGCTTCCCTTTCAGTGGGGAGAGACGGGCCTTCATCGGTGGTTGCTCGCCAGAACCTCGAGATCATGGCTCTCAAGGAACGTGAGCTGTTCACTTGATAGTGTGGTCGAGTAACTCTCCTATTGGTCAGGCATACGCGTTTTGGAGGAGGAGAAAATGTGGTTGGAGTGGCGTGAGGGAAACCATTAAAGAATTTGTTGATATCTTCTTCATGTTTCAGGTCTTCATAAAACTTGTATCAAGTGCCGTGAATGTCCATGCCGAAGACAGGAGGAAGTAAAGCGACAGGCTCTCGATCTATGTAAGTCTGTAGATAATCGCGAATGGCATTAATAGAAACGTTAAGTCTGGGGGTTGATGATGGGTCGTGGTGAATGCGAACTTGAATCGAATGACTTGAACTTCAACGAACTCGTTGCCAGCACTAATCAATCACCGTGTCGAGAAGTGGTACAGTACGCGCAATCCAAAGACCCATTTCGTGTGGCAGCCTCAACTTCCTAACTACTGCTCATATAAACCTGAAATTTCGTATAGGAACTCTCTGAATATGGTTACATTGTTTAAATATTCCACGGACTTGATATTCCAAAAAAATACACTTTTCGGATCCCCCTTGTGCACATTCCACTTCTAAAAGAGAACAAGATAACAAGTAAAATCCGTGGTATATCTAAACAATATGACTATTTTCAGAGAGTTCCTATACAAAATTTCAGATTGATATGAGCAGTAGTTCTTGGGGTTGTCACACGAAATTAGATCTTTAGATTGCGCGTACTGCATACTCTTGAAAGCAAACGTGGTATGTCATCGCCTAATACGCCCGAAGAAGGTTTCCTTAGTCGATAGGCTCCACGTATAACCCTGGTTCGATACCCACACCTGTGGTTTTTCACATAACTTCGGTTGTAGATGGTGTGGTATGAGTACGACACTTATATATTATATACTAAGGCAATGTAGGAGGATATGCACATGGTCAACTACATGTGTCGATGACAATATGGAAAATTTGAGGAAGTTTCGGGAGACTGCTGTTGATTTCTGAATACTTCTACCCAAATTTGTATATAAATTCTCATGATTAGTGAGAAAACTCCCGAGCTCAGCTGAGGAAAGCGAGCATATATTCCAACACTGTACTGAGGAGCCCTGATATAGACTACTTCACAGGCAATAAGAGTTGTGCCATTGCTCTAGTCTGCTGCAAGGGAATCTGTTAGTAGCTGTGGTTCATTCCAATCATGGAGAGAGATAGTC